GGCGTGGCATTCGATTTTACCCTATTTTAAAAAAAAAAATGATAACTCTCTTTCCATATATATTCAAACAAATGGTTTGGTTGAAATGTAATTAGGGGCGGCATAGAACGGCTTATACTTGGACCTTTTTAATCTAAAGGAAAAAAATTAAAACGTAAGCAAGAAATTTAATTATATATTTGCAAAATATTTGAATTACCTTTACTTTGCTGGTTTCGGGGACCGATTTTCCATATTTTCGAGCAAATTAATTCTATGGTTTGCTCCATTGCGGCAGGAAAGGGCTCACGTCGTGTCACGGTTGTGGCTTTTAGGCGCTTGCCCATTTCGGGTGCCGTCATGTTGTCACGCACTGCTGCGTCGAACAGGTCGTACACTTTGTTGACAAAGTGTTTTGGCAACGCTGAGTTTAAGTATTTTGACCTGGATAATAGACGATTTTTTTCTTTTTTTTTGGCACTTCCATTCCATTTAATATCTCGCGAAATTTGCTTGTTTCCATTGTCAAATCGCGGAGGCAATCATGGCAATTGATTTGATCACGTAGGTATCGGTCGATGCCGTACCCGGTTACCAGATGTAGGTAGCTGTCTGTTTTTTTTTTTTCAGCTGACCTGCCTGGTGGACAAGGGACCATAAGATTCACTTTATTACGTCAAACGGTGGTATATCATCGATGCGAACAAGTGGTAATCGAAAGGACTTTGGAGACTAAGCCTGGGCTTAAATTTCATTTTTGAGTGCTCTCAACATATTTGCCAACTACTTTTGTTGTTAGATGAATGGACAGATGGCGTGTAAAAAAAATGACCTTGGGTTAATTTTGAAAGTAGCGTTTGATGTTAATCGCTTTATTACACCCACCAGACCCTTCCAGTCCCAACGAACACAAAAGTGCCGTCAGTTTTCCATAGTAAGGCACGCCTAAATTTCCGTATGAATTTTTTTCCCTGGCATTCTCAACATAGATCCAAATTTCGCCTTCACTTAGAATATTATGCAAAAAAGACTGCCTTTTTTAATCGGTATAGCAAACCAACAAACCAACCGCGAACGCCTTTTATATGGCAAAAAGCACGATGTTTTTCTTCCTAGGAAAAGTACTTTTACGGTACAATAAGTGTCCTTATTACTTATTTGTCCAAGCTACTTATTTGTTATTCGCGAGTTCCGGTTTCATATCTACATAGTTAGTATTGACGACGAAAATTCGAATAACGAGTTGAAGACGCCTTCGGAAAGTGTTAGAGCATTTGGATGGTTGTGTTAAGCATATTTTTTCGAATGCAGTTTACTATGAGAAAGAAAAAAACCATAAGCACTTACCAATTTGAAATTGTTCCTAATACACTATACTTTCACTGTCAATAATATTAATAACCGGACCGTACCTAAAAGCGATACTAATTTTTTATAAACTGTTTTCATTTTATTACAAATTTCGTTACAGAGGCTTGGCTACGCAACTCGTACGCCAGATACCGAATACGGCCATCATGATGGCGACATATGAAGCCGTCGTTTATGTGTTAACTCGGCGATTTAATAATAAAAGCAATGAATTCTATGATTTTTAAGTTTCGCTTTTTCCCGTAAGCAATAGTTGCTTAGCTTGACCATTGCTAAATTCTGCAAAGCTTCTCTTGTTTTGATAGGTCTTTTGTTCCTTTAGAGCCCGTGTTCTAGCAGAACTTGAAAAGTTTATTGTAAGACTTAAAAAAATTATATAAGTTGTTTAGGCTTAGGCTGTTCAAACCAACGAACTATATAAATTTAGATTCGCGACAAAACCAAACAATGAAAAAAAGTTGCTATGCAATTTTCAAAAAAAAAAAAAAGAAAAAACAAGTTGCATGTAGAGTAAAGCCAAAAAAAGAATTATCTAAATAAAGTATAAAAACAAAAAGCTGCGCTAATTAAAATCAAAGTTAATTTTAAAAAAAAAAAAAAAAAAAAGGAAACGAAAAAAAAATACGGAAGCGAAAATATATTCACACATTATATACCGACTTAATTATCAGAGTCCAGCACAAATTTTGTAGCATTAGAAATCTATTTAATTTCTAAAAGCACGAATTGGAATTTTTTTATTTATTTTTTTTCTTTTCTAATAACTAATTATAAGATTTAAAAAAAATTGAATTTAATTCAAAGCAAAAAAAAAAAAGGAAAAAGAGACTCATTACTTTTAGTTTTAAGAAGCGCTCTTATTATATATTGAAAAATGCATAAACAAAGAAATAAAAAAAAAAAAAAAACAAAACAATTCTTGTAAAATCTATATTCGTTCGACTATTGTAGACAAAAAAATTTATGAAAATTCATTAAACAAATTTACCTTATGTTAATATCCAAAGTAATATATTTTATTAATTTTTACAAACGAAAAAAAAATAAATAAATAAGAAAAATCTGATATTTTTTAAGTTTATATTATTTTATTTGTAAAAAGCAAATATTGAATTTACGGCGAAATCATAAGGTAATTAAACTTAAAATCTATGTTTTATGTGTTATGGTATTTCTTTATTAAATTTTGAAAATAAAGTACGTTAATATATTTAAAAGCAAGCATACTAATCATTATTTGTATGTACATATAAAGTATAGATATATATACATATATATAAAAACAGCTCAAAATTAATAAAATTAATTGATTAAAGTCCAACTTTTAAATTTAATTATTTAAAAAAAAAAAAAAAGAAAAAAAAACAGAAAGCAAAAACAAAACCAAACTCATACAGTTTTCTGCGGTGTAATAAAAAAGTTAACATTCTTACAATAGAAATAATGTTTTAATAATATGGTGGAACGATTTTTCCCGTGCGTTGGGCAGGCGAGCGTAATTTTCTAAACTTCTTAAAGTGCAAAATGGAATCTTTGTTTCTAAAATTCAGAGAAATAAAGTTTAAGACTAGGGTCTTAAAGCACTTGAGACCACTGAGTTGTTAATTGAGATTTTTTTGCCCACTCGACCACTTAGGCAGATTTTATAAAATTTAGAGTGTTGGGTTAGCGTGGGACCATAAATCCATTATATGGATTTCGTTCGTTTCGTTTCTATTGGGAAAATTTTATTAGGAAACTATCGCTTATCAGGGCTTCTCTACGAATACATACTACATAGAGACCCAAAAAGACCTAAGATTGACACAATTTCATATTCAACGTACAGCTTGCAATTTTTGATATATTTTAACAAAATGTAGTACATTGACGTATTTTGACTCAAGGACGAACCCTATTGAAAATGAGTTCAATCGGACCGATGATGCAATTGATATCAGAATCAATTGCAGCAAATTGATTCCTAAATGTCTGCCAGACGATATAAGGGTTCTCATGAAAAGTACTTATTTATTTATGTGCCGTTTATGATGAAATAATAAAATCTTTAACAGGGAGACCAAACTTTGGACCCCGAATTCAAAAGAAAACATATGAAATTGCTTACAAATCAAAGGTCGGCATGGCGAATTCAAAAGATAACATATTGGGCCTGGTTCCATATGACAGCTTACATGAAAACTTTGTTTTTACGTGGGTATAGGATACAATTTTCTGCCTTCCCCGAGTGCGGTGTTTTACTTGTTTTTATAGTAGATGTGTAAATGTTTGTAACTTGTAAACCTACGCAAAAAGTTGTGCGAAAATCTTGAAGAAAAGAGCTTTGATTTTTTTGCAATTTTTGTCTCTGTTGCAAGAGTTTTCTGGAATACACCGTCGCAGCTCGAATGTGAAGTTCTGCCACATCCAGCGTATTCACCAGACATGACCCTTTCTGATTATAACTTGTTTATATCGGTGCAGGATGGCTTCTTGTCATTAATAATTATTATTATTAATTAATAAAGTAAACTAAATTTAAAAAAGATTGTTGTAGTTGATAGAATTTATTTGCTTTTAAAATAACAGTTTTTGTTACTAAATCTTTTTGCGTTGGCAGTTCTCTCTCTCCATCTCCCATGCATTTAAATCTGAAAAAATATCGAATATTGGCAATGCTAGCAATGATTCTTGCTAATTCTCTTTATTATTGTTAAAAGTCTTAACAAATTTAGATAAGCTTTTGAACCGAGAAGAAATCTTACAATATTTTTGTTTTTTTTAAGAAAAACCTCGATTTATTAATATAAAAGGCAAGAAAATATGATTTGCAACTACACAAATATCTTAAAAGAGCGGACAAAAAACAAGTGATTAATGAATAAAGTGCAAAAGGCCAACACATAGAAAAGCCCATCAAAGTACGAATAAGTATGAAGAAATGCATAGAAATTCCAATGCGCAGAAGTGCAAACTTTGCAAACTTTACGGTCCAATTTTGTGAGTGCAGCGATTGTAATCCATTGTTAGTGATGATTATGGATTCATTGTACTTGTAAGGCTTTGGAACAACGTGATAAAGTACATAGTATATAAAGTAGAAACGAAGTTCCAGGTAAAGAAAAATTACAAACGCGTTTAACATAATAAACCGTTACTTGCATAAATTAATTAAATAAAAGTGCAATATAAATATACACCTACCTACGTATTATAAAGCAATTATATATGCTTGTCTGTTATATTCGTTTTAAACGATTTTAATCAAAGTGTAAATACATAGAGGAAGTAAACTGCATTCAAAGTGCGAAGAGAAATCTGTAGTTTAATTAAAAAAAAAAAAAAAATGTTAACACTATTGAGTGAATGCCATTTTTGGTCTCTACGTGAGGATATACGAATAAAAAAAAGTGATTATGGAGCCTTTCGGTATACACGCAATCGTGAATGGCAAAATACGCAACATGATCTGATCGCGGAATCTAAGCGCGATTATACTGAGCGTCGTAATGGTTTGGCGGTATTGAAGAACTCACGCAAGTCCACCGGCCGTTTAAAGGATAATATAAAACGTTTAGAGGATTTGATGCGCAATCATAAAGTCGCTCACATTCATTGGAGTGATGCTGCGCAAGTACTATTACTTTTCTCCAATGGTATTATCGCCCATATCTGCATAGATAGCTTTACAGGAGATATACTACGCATGGTCTATGAAAAATACTTGGTTGGCAAATTAGCTGCTGATATCGTAACTGACGGTAAGTGGCATTGTCGAGTAAAATCATGATTACAAGCGATTTACAAGAAAAAGGAAAAATGGAACACTTTACATTAAACTTACACTTGTTAGTAATTAGCCGCAAACAAATCATGTCGTTACATATCATGTACATACATAAATTCACATAAACCCCTTTGTGAAAAATTTCAAAGTAACAGTGACGCAGGCAGAGGCATATTAGGAAGGTTGCGTAGCCCCCCTTTTGCATATTTTTGCACATATTTGTGTTTGTAAATTCTCTGATATTATTAATATATTCGCATTTTTTTATATATTTGGATAATTTTTGTTAAGTCGTAAGTAGAGTTAGAAATTTAAATATTTTTTTTTAAATTCTTTTCTCAAGATTTTAAGCTTCATTTTGCAAACGAGATCGAAAATTCAGTAATAAGGGGTTGTTCGAAAGGTCATTTCAGTTTCAAATCTGAAATTCAACTAAACATGTCCGCCTGTTGGTCTGTCAAATCTGTCTGTCAACCAGACTGTCGACTATCTGGAGTAAACGTTTTCCCACGGAGACAAAACTTTCGCCTACAAATTAGTGAAGAAAATTAGAAAAGGCGCAAAGTTTTCAAAGCACGCGCTTCCAACTCCTTCATGCCTATATGGCAAAAACTTTTACTTTGAAAGTAGAGAAAATTAACCGCGCACACTCCATTTTACAGAACATGAAAATTTAGTTCTTCGTTTTTTAGTCGTTTTTTAGGATCAAGGTGATGAGTGTAAAAGATTCGGTCACGACGGATTTCTTATTTGCTGTTATTAAAAAGGTGAAAATACTATTCAAGCAAAAAAAAAATTGTGGATGGGTATAGAGCTGGTATGGTGCCACAACTGGTTATTTTTCGTTCGTTTCATTGAAGATATATCACGTTCTGGAAAGCCAGTTGAAGCTAATTATGATAAAACAAAGGCCGTTAAAAAGATGCAAACCGGCGAATATCGAGATCGCTATGAAATTGAATTTCTCTATTTCAAGCGTTCATGATCGTACAAAACTCTTTGATATTTTATTTTTAGTAAAAAAAAAGTAAGCTATTTTCCAAACAATCTAATACATATATGCAGGAATGCATATGTTTATAAAAAAGACTATAGAGCAAGCTACGCTCCTGAGCGCCGTATATCCGTTAAATGCATAATCAGTTAACATATAATATCTTGTAGCTGCCCTGATTATAAAATAAAATTGTTTTTTTTTTCGCCGTAATAAAACCTAATTGCTGTTTGTATTAATTAACTTTACACTTCGATTTATAGCATTTTTCAGTCGCTCCCATATAGTATTGGCGTACAATACCAATCAAATAACAGTTGTTCATTTACACAAGCCCAATATAAGGCCACAAGGGCCGGAGAAAATCTCAAATATGGAACCGAAAATTTTTCATGCTTTAATACCGGGAGTAGCGGAAAGAAAACTAGCGAGAAATTTAAGCGTTAACAATAATGCAGATATGTTTCTTATATGGACTAAATCATCTCAAAACGAAGTATTTCCTTGGCGACCAACAATACGAGATCAAGATCGCGCTAACATACATGTTTTTAAATTGAAAGGGTAAACTTTGATGTTTTTTCATTAAAATCTATCATATTTATACTAGATTTTTCGTCTAGAAATCAATTGGATTTCTTTGCCTATTGTTGGTCTGAAAATGATCCGTTACAAGTGGATTTCGTGCGTACCACAGCTAATCAAATCTTGACATTAGAGCAGAAAATATCGCGGAAAGGTGAAATTTCAGCGGAAATATGTACATACGACATAGTTGTGGGGAAAATGCAACGCGGCCCCTTATCTTCCATACCAATGGATACGCAAATCACTTGTTTTGGTTTCAGTCCCGATCAAGAGAAATTGTTTTTAGGTAGTGCTGGACGGAGTATATGTTTGCATGATTTGGTTTTGCAAACCACAAAATCGATAGCGCAAATTGACATTGTAAGTGCCAAAACTCAGAAATTTGAAAATTATGGGTTTTTTTGTTTTTATTTTCAATTTTATAAATTTTAGATACCTACACAATGCTCATGGCATAGTGATTCCAGCCTAGTTATGATAGCTAATACCCGCTCACAATTTCAATGTTTCGATCTGGCATTAACCCCTATCGGCAGTCAATTGCAAAGCGACGATGTTACTCCAGCAAGTCTTTTGGATTTATCGTATTATTTCATTCATCAACCAACTTTGCTGCAAATATCATTTAGTAAAAAACCGGAGTTGGGGCAGCATCCTAATCATAAATACGCGACCACAGATTGCTTCCTTATTCTGCTTTACGATAATGGTCCTTTGGGCTGCTTAAGATTCTTCGCTGGTGCAGGTATACGCGGTGACATACACAATTCCGGCTTAACTGCCGATGTTATATTAGGCAAATACTTATCCCTAAATCAATTGGAGAAGGCAGTTAATTTAATGAATGCCTTAAACTGGGAAACTTACGGAGCCATGTGCCTGATCTCATTGCATAAAATAGCGAATTATGTTTTTTATCGCGCCGATCCGAAAAAGAGTAAAACAATAGAATTGATGGGTAAGGCTTTGAAAACGTTTACAGACGCATTGAGTGAAGAAACCAAAGATGAATTTAGTGACCAGGTCTTTGATTTAAAAAGAAGATTTTTCTTTTATCTTCTGCGGTGAGAAGATAATACTTTTATAGTTAAAGATATGCTTTTTTACATTATTTTTTTTCAGGCGTAATTTCTTCGTTGAAGCCTTTGAAGTAGCCCAGGATATTGAAGATTATGATCTATTCATGGATCTTTATAATTTAACTAAAACGGATTCAAACCTTATAGAATTCTCTACTGCCGCTTTTAGTCAAGCGGCAGCTATCTTGCACGAAGAGGATCGGGCCAATGGGAATCTAAGTATAGCCGGTGACTATCGCTCAGAATCGGCGTGTTCTCAGTCTTCGATTTCAGATATTGCTCCAAATAGTAAATTGCAACAGCAACAACTACAGCATCAAAAATTTTTGAAAAGTTACATTCCACCTCTGCCTTCTTTCAAGTCGAAGGTGTTTAGTGCTGAAACTATAAAAATAAATATACCCAAACCGGAATTACGAAGTCCTGACAATGGTAAACAGCAAACCGAGGAACGCCAAAGAGCTCCACCTCCTCCTGTGCCAGATAAAAAACAAGTAACATTGAACTCAACATTAATAACTACTACCTCAGGCGCAGCCTTGGCTAGTAATCTTGTTAGCTCAACAATAAAGGGAAATGAGACACAGCAAACGAACGGAAATAGTAATGGTAGATAAATAGCGAAGACATAATGGGTAATGTAATAAATTTCTGCTTTCTTCTTACAGACAGTGCCACGTTCAAGCAAAGGTCAGCGGACTGTACCCTTTCGATTAATACAAGTTCACCTTATCTGCAATCACCGCCAAATAACATAGTAATTAGACCCAATGTAAACAATATTCCAAATCACCTGCCCGCCGGTTACCTGCACATAGCTACTCCAGTAATCGTTGCCGACCAAGCTGCTTTAGCCACCCATCGCAATTATCAGCAACCGCAACAATTGCCGATTCTAACTATACCCTCGTACCAACCAAGATTTTTTCAACATCCCCTCGTATCAGGTCACATACCACCTACGCCAATTGCTTCTTTAGCCGCCCACAGTAATTCCAATGAAGAATATCAAAAATCGTTGCTTAGTAAAAAACCGTCAGCTTCGATTTTAGCTAACGGCTCGATGAACCAAAACGGTGGCAGTAATTCATCTGTTCTAACTCAGTCCAGTAGTCTCTTGAATGGCATTAAAGAAGGCAACAAAAATGTTACAGGCGAAAAAAATAAAGTGAAATTTTCCGACACCGTCCAAGTGGCTGTTGTACCAGTAAGTTTACTGTATTTTGTGAATGTTACCAATATAAGGAATATAAGGAATTTGCTAACTATTATGTTGTTTGTCCAGAAGTATGCACTCGAAGTATCGTTGAGCTTCTCGATTAATGCTACTTTCCAAACAGGTTGAATGTATGTCCGTGCGTCTGTTGCGTATTGCAACAGAATATACTTTTTTTTTTAGTTGAATCCTATAAATTAAATGTTGGAAAATAGATAAGGATATTCAAAAGTTGGGAAGAATTTACTTTAAGCAAAAAAAATCTATACTTTAGCAGATATTCATCTAGCATTTGGCTCCAAAAATGTACAAACTTTTGTAAAAAGTATCTTGTGTGAAATTGATTTAACTGACTCAATCACAAGCGAAAGATTCCTAAGTTGTTATAGCTTTACGATTCTTTTAGCATGCATCGTATCAGTTTTTGTACAGAAATTACTCTATCAAAATGAATCTATTGTTTTATCTTACGAGAAGTATTCACTTTCAATTACTATCAGTTTAAAGGCGTCTGTTCCATTGCAGGAGATACCCCGCAAAGAGAAAACATTGATAATGAAACGGAATGCTTATGCTAGACCTCCTCCAACCCCTTCCCGCAATTACACTAATCCTAAAAAAGAGTTGGCCGACAGTTTACCGCTTTGCCATCCCAATGATGACTACTTAAAGGATTTCAATCCTCTGCCAACAGGTATTTGAAATTAAAACTTAAAAAGAAAAATATAAAAATTTGTATTAAAAATTTAGCTGAAATAGCAAGAACATCAGCCATGCTTAGAACAAACATAAATGATGAGCAAATTTTCTGCACTACTAAACCTACTAACACAACAATTAGTACAACAACAACAACAACAGCACAACTCCCAACTGTAAAAGTAGTACACTTTGGTGTAGTTTAACACAAAGGCTAACGAAATTCTTTATAAAACAATCTAATAATTTGCAACGTCTTCCAATTTAATTATAATAATTAACAATTGCCGTCCTTAACTCACAGCTTTAATTAGTTTAGTAGTTACTCATAGTAGATAAATATTTTGAAAATGTAGAACTTTATCCACACAATGTATAAAAGTACAATATGTTTGTTAAATAAATACGAATAGTCCAGAATATAGTGTTATTTCTTTTTGGCTGTACCACTTTGTATTCTTTCCAGCTCGGCCTTGAGTTCCAAGAGATCGCGATCAGGTACGTAACGTCTTTCCTCATCATCTTTTGTATGTTCCTGTATAGACAACTCTACGCCTTCAGGTAACGCTGCCTGAGCAATACGTAGAAATAGTGGGTAGATGGGAGCGCTGACATCTTCCAAATGCAGATTGCGCTCATAAACTGTTAAACGATATTCAGCATCGACTGCAGTAGAATTTGGACGCAAACGTTGCACTGTCATGTGTTGTGGTGGCAAAGCATAACTAAAACGAAAAGGTTTGATAATTATATCTAAGCGAAAATGAAAATTATCTATCATTATAATTACCAATCAGCGACGTCTATGTCGAGATATTCAGCTACCTTATGAAGATAACGCTGATAGCTCTCCAAGATCGGGTAGTCATAGCCTTTGATTTGAACATTTAAATTTTCAAGTTGCGGAAATTTCGGCTTAAGGCTCTGAAAATAGTAGAGAATCTCATTCTAATATAAAAATTTATGTTTGCTTATTTTTCGAACCTCCAAATAGTCTGGTTCGTACAAATCCTTAACGAAAAGAGCTCTTGAGTCACTGATATTTCGCGTAGTATTGCATAAATAAGCAATTGGTAATTGCTTAGGTTTTTTTCGCAAAAGAGGCGTGAACTGTAAATTTTAATAATTTGTTTAGCAAAAATGTTTTAATAAATTTCTAGTAAATTTACTTTTCTTAGCATTTTTATTTAATTTGGTGTTTTTTCCCGAAGAGTATATTTATATCTGAATTGACAGCTGTTTTTCATATTAGTATCAATTTGAGCTAACAGCTGTTCGCTTTTAAATTTGCATATGCAACTTAATTTACTGTGAGCTATTATTGCAGCGTTTTCACAAAAATGTTTTAAAGTAATGAAAAATTTTTAGACAAGATAAAGGAACAAAAATTGGGCCCTTTCTTTGGCTGTAAAAAATTGGAGAATTAGAATATATCCTTACCTTGATATAACCATTAATTTTGCCAATCTTGCTCTGTAAATGTTGTTAGGATGTCTATTGAGCTAATTCCCGAGAGTGGGCTCTTGCAAATTAAGAAGTGATATACGAAGAAATTTTTTGTATTATAAGGTCGTCGATAACCGTTGGATATAGTAACGCAACGGAATTGGATTTGATCTAAGAACAATGCAAATTTTTGAATATTAAGAACTAATTTCAAAAAATTGGCGTGACATATGCAAATTTTGTTCAGCTTTCTAGTTTGGAAATGGTTGAGGTCAAAAATAATAAAGAAAGAAACTGAAGATACTAATCTATTTTCATTAGTAAAATATAACACATTGAATAAATTTTTTTAAATAGCCCACAAGTATTATGTTTATCAGGATATTTGTAAGCGCCGCATAGCTAATGGAAATAATTGTGGAGATGCAAACCCCATCTCCCAAGGATTTTGTATAAACTTCGTACATGAAAGTTCTTGATAATAACGTTTTCAAAAGTTTGCTGAATTTTAATACTAAGTTAATGCAGTTGCAAAAATTCTTTTCCCTGCAGCGTATTTGGTACCACTTATTTTAACATTAAATATTTTTAATAATTAACATTACTATTAAACTTTCCAATTTTATGTAACCGCAAAAATCCTTATATTTCGCTTAGACAATTTTTCGGAGAAACAATCCCGCACATAAGAAGTATAACTCTAAAAAATTTCATAAAATTCTTTACTGCCAATCATTGTATTCTATTTCATTTGCGATAAGTGCAGAAATTTTTGGATGAGGCAATGCCAACGGAACTTAAGAGCTCACGACATTATTTATCAACTTAGTATAGCATTTGTGGAAAATAATAATATTGCATTATTTTGGTGGAAAAATGGTAAAATTTAGGTTCTTCGTTATATGGAATTGTGCGGCTTTTATTTTAATTCTGGCAAATAATATAATTGCAGTACGAGCGCTATCAGATCCAGGCATAACAATCGGTGCATTATCACCGGTAATTCCTAAATAAAGCTGCGAAAAAGTAACTTTACTGCTTTTGCTACTGATATAATTTTAACGTCTCGTTGTAGAATGCTAACGTTATAAGAGATAATAAAGCCGTGCTAGCGAACTCAAAAATCTACGTGAAAAGTAAGCCTTGTTTAAAATTAAATGAACAAATATTGATTTAATATCTTTTTAACTTGCAGTTGAATGTAATACCAGAAACAATGAAGACATAGATATATTAATTACCTATTCTGTATTAGAGGTTGAGTGCTCATATGATCCAGAAGTAAGTTCTTTGTAACCAACGGTTTTTTTTTTTTTTTTTTACATTCAATAACTTTTTTCGTTGGCAGTTAAAGCAGTCCTATATATCCTATCAAAATCAGTTGGAACACACCAACAAAACTTCCGATTTGTTCTTTAAAGGAACGGAAGATGCTAAATGTCCTGACCATATGATTGTATTGGAAATGCCAGAGGGCATTAAGTCAAAGGATATGAGTATTAACTCCAGAATAAACCCATACAAGAATGCGAAGCATCCGTTGTCAGTGAGTAATAAGATTTAATTACTGTTGTATGTTATGATATCCATCCATGAATCATCGTTTCATTATTCATGCACACATTGACATTAAAATAAGTAAAGTCGTTGTTCATAATTTAAATGAATTTCTAAGCTGGTTCAGCTTTTGTATTATCAAGCTATAAAATTTAAAAATTTTTCCCTTTTGCAGCCCACTTCAAAACCCTTGTTTATAGTGCCACATGATGGCATTTACGTATTAACGATAAAAATTGAAACGAAAGACAGTAATCCTATAGAGTATTCAGCTTCGACCCATATTGAGATAGTTGGTCCTTATGGTTATATACCAGCCATAGAGTATCCTTTGTTGCCGGTGAGTTACCCATGAATAAAGTATATCCTAGCATTCTCCGCTCTTTTTTTATTATCTCTTAATAAAAGTCGAATCTTATTCTTACAGTTTTATGGCATCATGTGTCTCGTTTACGTTGTCTATGGCATAATTTGGTTAATCGTATCGTTTTTGCAATGGCGTGATTTGCTACGTATACAATTTTGGATTGGTGGCGTTATATTGTTGGGCATGTTAGAAAAAGCTTTCTTTTATGCTTACTATCATAACTTAAACAGCACAGGTGTGGTGGTGCCCGGGGCTGAGATGGCTGCTGAATTTGTATCTTGCGCAAAACGTACATTGGCGCGCATGTTAGTTATTATAATGAGCTTAGGTTTCGGCATAGTTAAGTAAGTTACCATAAAAATTTGTATTTGTTTTTAAGTGCTTCACTGATTTGTAAAATTGCAGGCCACGTTTGGGTCCCATGCTACATCGCGTAGTAGGTGTCGGAACCTTATATCTTATTCTAGCTTGCGTTGAAAGTTATTTACGTGTCATGCATGCAAAAACTAAACGTAGCGAATTGTTAGTCGCTAATATTCCATTAGCATTTGTTGATAGCGGTATTTGTTATTGGATTTTTACTTCACTGGTGCAAACTACAAGGACGTTACGTTTACGAAGGTATGCTAAATCTTGATTCTATTACAATAATAACCTTGCTAATAATTTCGCGTATCGGTTTATAGGAATATGGTGAAACTATCTCTATATCGTCATTTTACGAATACTTTGATATTTTCGGTTATAGCTTCGACTGCTTTTATGTTTTATTCCATGCGCTATAATAAGAAGGAGTACTGTACACCGGTAAGTTTAATTTCTTAAATTGTTATCAATATTTTTGATAATTGTTTCGTATTGTAAAAGGGTTGGCGTTTTATATGGTTCGAAACAGCTTTTTGGCATATACTTTTCTCAGTACTCCTATTGGTTATTATGATACTTTGGCGGCCTACCAATAATAATCAACGTTATGCTTTTACGCCATTGCTTGACAACCCAGAAGACGAAGATGATGAAGGTAAGAGGAAATACGAAAGAAATTATTTTCTATTGATATTGAACAACTTTTTTTTTTTATTATTAAATTTCTTTCAAAGTTTAACGAAATATATTTTATAACAGGCAGATGTAGGCTTGAACATTCCATTTTATTATTATAACAAAATGCCTCGAACAAGCTGTTTTTATTATTTACGAACAGCTGTATAGGTTCCTTTAACAGGCTAATGGTGTTTTTGAATTTCATACACAGTTCGAAAAAAGCACTTTGGCTTACGCTTTCGATAAGAAATAGGAAGCGTGTTTGCGGGTTTGTTTTATTTAACTTATGCCAAACGCTCTTCAAAAGGTGACAGGCGCAAGCATATGCAGCGCAATAAACTCATCATCAAATACGATCACACTTCTTCCGACCATAAATAAATACATCTTCTTCATCCCTTCTGCTGATCCTGTCACAATATCAACATAACATCGTTATGCTTTTTTCTATACATTTCTACTTGGATAGTACCTTTATAAAAACGGAAAAAATCAGACTTGCCCACCATTTCTTTTAAAATAAAACCGCGAAATGCTACGATTCGCCTGGAACCACATGTAAATTTTGAGAAACTATTAAGTTACAATATTCCCAACAAACAAGTACTTTCCTCACTTGGAAGCAATTTGAAAAGTTTATCATTATTATTTAATCAAAGTGCAAACATGCTTAACATTTGAACATGTTGGGCAGTGTTTTGCAATAGAGTTTGACGAATCATTACTGATCTCCGCAAAAATACGATAAATGCTTGCATTTCTTTCTGTAGAATGTTACGATTACAGCACTAGCTTAAAAATGAATTAATGAAAAATATTGCCTTCAGTTCCGTTATGTTTTCATTATAAGACAAGTAAACGCGCTATAGTGAACCGTGGACCACCATTAAATACTCTACACTTCGTTTAATCCAGTTTTTCAAAAGGTGTTCTAGATTAAGTGATCGAAAAAGTGAACCGATCCGCACCATTTTCAGTAAAGCTTGTGGAACCGATTGTACCCTTGTACTAAGGGGTGTAGGGTCTGAGAAAGGAACTAAATTTCGTCTTTGTTTTAGATGATTTTTAAACTTATAAAAACGATTTTGCTTTTTCTTTTTGTGTTCATTAAATATTTCAGGAAAAATTTCTAAATTTAATATATTTATATTGACAAGTGGTTAATTTAATAGATTAATTTATTTTATTAAATCAACAGAAGATCAGTTTGTTGCCGATGCTTATGGCGTTAAAATGCGTAGCAGTCATGCAAATAGTAATGGCGCGAAAACTCCGCCTAATGCTCCAAAAAATACCACGAATGAAGAGGATGATTTGCGCTGGGTGGAAGAAAATATACCATCGGCCATGTCCGATCCTGCTTTGCCTGTGCTTGATTCAGACGAAGAAGTTATGAATACAAAATTTGAAGTTTCCAAAATGCAATAAACGACGACTACAGTTCTGATTTGTTAAGCCAAAGAAAGAATTGTTGAGTTTTCGTTCAATTTTGTGAATCTTCGCTTGAGAAATATTTAAATTTTATTTCATGTAGTATTTATTTTAGAAAGTTTTCCTTCATTTTTAAACATTGCTGGTCAATAAATATCTGGACTCTAACATAAGTGAAGGCATTGTTCCTAATTTTGTTTTTTTTTTTTTTTTTTTTTGTTAATTGCTTTCCCTTCTGTATATGTGTTTATTTCAATCCCATTCTCCTCTCCATTGTCATTCTTCCTATGCTAATCCAATTAAATTAACTTTCATTTATTGTTTGTAGAAATATAATAATATCTGCGAACTGGCATTTTCCCCCCTTAAATTTGTACTATTGTATATAATTATCTACATATGTTTTCCATACGTGCTTATGAAAAAAATTAATTGATAGACACTGAAAACAATAAAAAATATTTATGTTAAGCTAATATTTAATAATATTTAAGGTACCTACATCCCTTGCTACATACATACGTACAATTACATACATATGTGTTAAAAATTAAAAAATAAAATCACTATTTTTTCACATATATTAGAATTGCAATATACTTTTAAAAAATAAAAATGTTTAAAATATAAATTTTCTTAATTAAATGAAAACGAATTTTATGACAAGAAAAATAAAACAAAAAATTTTTAAAAAAAGCCTTAACTTTTTCTATTTTCTTAAAAACATTTCTATCAAGAATAACTGAAAAAACAAATGCAGCAATTAGTTTTAATAAATCTAATTACATTTTTTATTTTATTTTTGATTTTAACACTAATAATTATTTAATAACTAGGCATTGTTATCTCTTTAAAAAAAAAAAGCAGAGAGGTAAACAAAAAAAAAAAAAAAAGAATACAGAAATCTTTAATATTTCGTTTGCCCAGCTGTTAGTTAATCTTCCCCTTCCCTTTCCAATACTGTTTGTGACTTTTAAAGCCTTTTCAGTTCGATTCTGGCTTGACATTACGCCTCAGTATGGCAGCAGCCAAATCGTGAGTCATGGCCACTTGTTGTCGCTGATCAGCCAATGGTTGAGTGCTGCGTAAACCATTGACTATGTCCTTGGTCTTACCAAAATAAATCTCATTCAGAGTATTACGTATTTTATTCTCCATTTCTTCGACCATTCGACCAATGTTGGCAATATGCGGCGAGGATTCGCTAACATTAGCATCTTGTTCAGTTTGACGGGTAAGAGAGCCACCCAAGTTCATGGTGCCAGAGCCTTGTTTATTGGTTTGCAGCCAGAGCATAGCAGTAGAAGTCAGTTTGTAATGTGCCGCTCGACCAGTAGGCTTTTCTTGTACTTCCACAACATGTATAGAATCCCAGCAACCTCGGATTTTTTTGCTACCATCACCGGCTTTCTTAATTAAGAATATTTTTGATACATTTATATAAAAAAGATTATATATTATATTTCAAGCAAAGCGCTTGTATGAATATATATGGAAAGAGAATATTCTTTTTATTTTTGAAAATAGGGTAAAATCGAATTCCACGCCTATAAAAATTGTATAAAACTATTCAAGAGACGTACAAGGGGAGATGAACGTATATTTTTGATACATATAATTGATATAAAAAAATTTATATTTACCTTAATTAGTATTACGGCAGCGAATCCATGGTCTAAATCCCATAAATATACAGATGATACACCCCCTTCGTAATACATTTCACGATACTGATCGAAGGCATGATTGGCTTCAATTTCCAATTTACGCAAACGTTCCGAAGGCATCTGACCATCTTCCAAAGGTGGATAATAAGTGTTGGACCACGGTGATCTATACGAATCACCATCACGATTATAATCGCACAAGAGATAATCTTTACCGTGCTCCTTATCCTTAGCTATTTTAAGGGGTTGATCGACGGAGGACAACAGATCCTCACATAAGTCTGGTGCCAAATCAATAAGGTCACTTAGGTTCTTTTCGATTTGTTGAGGCGGCAGCCGACGCATTAAATCTAATGCGCAGTCCATTTGTAGTTCAGACTAAAAAAGAAATCAAAACAGTGAAGCTCGCCAATTATAAAAATTATTACAATTAGGCACCTCCCTAATTACTTGTGCATATTCATTTAAAAAGCAAAAGAAAACCTAATTCCAACAGGGCAGTAAATTACTCACCATTTTATTATTTTTGTTTTACACTTTTATTTTAAATGCAAAATTTTTCTATAGAGTAAAGTCACTTTTATTTACTTAAGTATTACGTTCTTTATAATTATTTGCAATATTTTAACAAATTTTTTCCATTTATGTTTTTTTGTGAAATTTCTGTATTTGCTGATAAAAAGAGAATGTTTCGTTTTGCTATTTTTTATTAATCTCTTTTATTTATCAAAGTTGCCACTAATAAAGAAGTGATTCCACCAAAAAAAAAAGAAGAAGAAAGACAGCGAAGATTGCCGACGGCTTTGCATTTTAACAGACTTTCTTACACTGCTTTACCATTTTATATTAAAAGACGAGAAGACTATAAATCTTCATTATTAATTTATCAGTAAATTTGTAGATAATTGTTTTTAGTAACAAATTGATAATTTTATTGGGTTAGTATTGAAATTTAATTAACTTTTAATTTATAAAAACATAAATTAATGATTGATTAATCTTTTATTAATAATTATAAGAATAAGTTACTATAGGGATAACAGCGTAATTTTTTTTGAGAGTTTTTATCGATATAAAAAGTTGCGACTTCGATGTTGGATTAAGATAATAATTTAAATGCAAAAGTTTAAATTTTAAGTCTGTTAGAGTTTTTAAATCTTACATGATCTGAGTTCAAACCGGTGGGAGCGTTGCTATTTTTAATTTATTTTAATATTTTTCTACGAAAGAAGCACGTAAACACTTACGACATCATAATCATATGATCATCGTTGGGTTCACTTACCAATGCAAAAGTTAAGCACTACATGCGTTGCTACGGTAAAGTGCCAAACACAATGTTTGTTTTATACGTTGTACACGGCGCTTAATTTCACACGCAAAATTAGTCGGACACAAAGTGTGCATGCGTCGCCAAACTGCTTAGCGTTTGTTTACATGATAGTTAATAAAGCAAAGTACAATTACTAAATGAGCAAATAAAATTTTTTTCTGTGTAGAATAGATAGCAATATGTTTTAACTTAATTTTTCTTTATATTTTTTTAACAAACATGTAAATGATCACTGTACAATCATGTCGTGCTTACAACACGAACCATATGATATGGATTTGTTTAAATACGTCACTGTTTTGTCGGTCAAAAACAACGCAAGCAGAAATTTTAAAAGTTTTACAGAAATTTGGTTCCATGCGTAACGCAACGCATGCTATATGTTCATCCATATTTACATATACATAATCGATTTTATCTTGACAGTTCGTGAGTCACGCATGAGGGGAAATAAGTACAACATTTATGAGTTCATAAGGCATTATTTAAGTGCATACATTGTGTTTTAGGTCTTTAATCTTTAATTCATGTAAAAAAGTCAAATCGTTACGTTCATCAGCAACTTGTGGTTGCCTTAGTCTTCAGCTTTTTTATATATGAACAATATATGTATTATTTAGCAACTCTGCATCGAAGTGCAATAAGAAAATTTTCATTTTGTGTTATAGATTTTTTAGACAAAAAAAAAATTGTTTTTAGCTTTGAATTATGTGAAATTAATTAATAAAAGTTATTGAAAATTAAAATTTATGTTATTTTTTTTAAGTTTAGCATAAAGTTAACTACAATATTTATTTTTATGTAAGTGAAAAACGAAATTGAAAATTGAAGGGTGATGATGGAAACATTTTATGACAACGGGCGTAAAATCACAATTTCGAAGAAGACTTAACCAAAGCAAATCTAGAAAAATAAATGATTAATAAATACCAAAAAACGCTGGATAAATAAAATAATAATATAGTAAAGAAATATTGTCGCTGCAATTGCGTGAGTGGAGCGTGTGTACTATAAAATAAAAGTTGACAAGACATTTACTTAAGGAATTTATTGTACAACCAGAAAATTTAAGTGTTTACGATTCGGTTCGGTTATGTTTGGTCGAATGTGTCTTAGAATTTTTCCCAAATACGTAAATGCCGATTTGTATGTCTTGTCAATTAATTTCCACATTAATGTAACATTATTAAGACTGTATTTTCGAGCAAGATGGTTTACGTTTTATTAAAATCAACATCGATTGCGTTTCTATCTGTAAATCATCTTTAATGTTATTATTTGTCCAATTAGATAAACGAAGTTTTTCGGTGTATATTAAGTTTAGTAAATATTAAAAAAAAGTTGTTAACAAAATTGTTAGTGTTAAATTCAAATTACCAATCTCTTCCTCATGTAAAGTTAAATCCAATTGGACGCAAACCCATTTCTTAATTCAATCAATGCATTTTGTAATTTTACCCATTTGTATTAATTAGTTATTAAATCTTCACACAGTCACGGTTTCATTTCTTGTTTGTCAATAGGTGACCTTATAAACTAATATTTATTGATTTTTTTTTTTATTTCGCATACATTTTTCTTATTGCCACAGCATCATCATCCCGTATATCTTTCTTTCCTGTACGAGTTAAGATTTTCCTATGCGAGAGTTTCACTTACCAATACAGATATGAATTCTCTTCGTGTGTTTCTTTTGTTTGTTAATTGGCGAAAGTATTTTTCTCTTGTTTTCGTTTCATTTAGTTAATTGAATTTTTTTTTGCGTTTAAATTAAAAAGAAAGATTTTTCTTGCATACATCAATAGCAATTTATAAACTATTTTAGATAGAGCAAAGAAAATATTTGTTGTTGTTTTAATTTATTATTTGTTTATTTACATATGTACTGTGAAATGGAAAAGGATGCTCGTTTAGTTAATAAAGTTCGCGCACTTGACATCAGATTCAATCTAAATTGACGCGCCTTTTAATTCGGTTAAATATTATATGGCAAAAGTTATCAAGGTAAAAATTGGGTCGCAATTGGTTTGCATTTTATTAGTGTACTACTTAGAAAGAGAAGAGATCGATATGGAAAACTTTTAAGAAAAATTCTGCAAATTATAACAAGCAATCTAACAGTCACCTATCATTTCATTTTGTTTCTATTTGATATTAACTTTGAAGTCCTTGTGTAAATTAATTTGGATAGAATAGTTTTTTCTTTGCCGTGCTTCACTTTTTTTCTTTTAATAGCATTTGCTTTAATTTCCGATGATTTGTGAAATTGTCGAATTGAGAAAAACGATGGAATAGTTACTCAGTTCTGTTAAAAAACATCGTTATACTATTGACGTGCAACAAATATGCATCGATCTGCTCACCAAGCAATATTGGTACTGAGTTAAACTTGATGATATTTGGGGACATTAAGTCAAAAATATTCAGCATCTAAAAAGTAAGTTATGGGACTAAAAGGCCCCCCCACTGAGATAATAAAGCTCAGCTATTTACTTTATAGAATCATAGCCAGAACATAGTGTTCTTTTAAATTCTTGACGGGTTCACTTTTAGGGGCGCAGCTAAAAAACCAAGGAGATCTTAATCGGTTTTCATAAGCTGAAGCGCTAGAGAATTGTTTTCCAATTCCAAGGTGTTAATGTTTTAAGTTCACTGGAAAGGTCGGCGATTATTAGATTTATGAGTTATTTTTCATTAAATAAATCCGCCATGGAGGAATCCCATTCTTATTTAGGACATGTAAGAATATAGTTAAGAAGTTATGTAGTTTGTGAGAAGCCTGTATAATTAACAAATTGGACTCACCATCACTTTTTTCATAGCTCCAATAATGTCTTCACTCCTGGCAATTCACAAACTGTTCAATTGCTCGCCACATATGATCCAGTATGGCAGCAGTGATGACAGCCTTCGAATGTAAAGAGCCCTCGGTCGTGCAGCACGCTTTAATAGCAAGTTGTCAGGAAAACTTGTTTCGTTACTGAATAAGAAACTGGATATTTGAATAATTTGCGATTCGTGTGTGTTGACAAGAGATCCCACATCCCTAATGCTACAATATATAAATCTCCAGTGGAAATAAATATTGGATTTTTATCGCACTGTGCAGTTTCAACAGGCCCCTCTACCAATAGCAGCTGTACTGCCACATTTTAAGACTAATAATTTCTTTTTGTATTGACCCCGCTATTTTGGGCTGGCCCCCTCTCACTATCACAGATTAATTTATCGTTGTTATATTCTACATCAATTGAGGCACAAGGGCATATTAAGTTTGGGCGGATGTGCGCAATACTAACGTCGCACTCACCTTTTACTAAACGCAAGGATCCAGAATCACTTTCTTTGTTTCAGCGGCCGTCAGTTTTATTTTCTTGTGCTTAAACTACAATTCGCAATTTTTGAGATAATTTGAAGAAATTTCGTACACCGACATCTGTTGGCTCAAGGACAAATGCTGTTGAAAATTTTTGGCATTTTCTTTTAAATGATTATGGTATAAATAACAGTATTAAGCGAAGTAATTGGAAGCCCTGGCCAACTTTAGTGCTCTCACTTGTTTTCTCGACTTATTTTATTCCACTCAAATCTATTGCAATCCGTCGGCTGCCAAATTTGGTTAATATCAATGTTGAAAAATTCCCGCACAAACTATTGAAAGTCATGTCCCGTTTGGCTGACCTACTCGGAAGATGTAGTAGTAAGGCTCTTGAGCTCAACGATTACCTCTTCAATATTCAAATATTTTCAGGTCGGTGCTGCCAAAGATTTTGCTGGAATGTTATCATTACATATCTTCCTTTAAGTTAGAGAGATTACAGTTTGTGGTGAATAAAGGATTTGCTTAGATAAGCAGAAATATGGAAGTAAAGAGGTTTTCCTTTTTTTTTTTTGCTCTAATAGATGTGTTGGAAATCTAAAATATCTTATGCAATAAAGTTAGGTAGTAAGGTTTTGAGTATTGAGAGATAGTGAGGCGCTAAAACAAGATTGCATTTGGAGACTTTTTCTCTTTAGTTCTTTTATTTGTTAGTCTTTTTTAAAAAAGTGGTTCTTCTGCTTTAAATTCATTTTATATTGTTCGACACACTTCTACCGCTTGTATGCGTGTATCTATTGTTTTCTATTTCGAATACATGCAAAATATTGCAACAAAACTTATATACACATATATACATAGTCGAACATAAAAAGTTGTTGTGTGGAGTGTTGAAAACAAAAAAAAAAAAAAAAAATTTTTTTTTTGTCTTATTAATTATTTTGTTCATGTGATGTTTTAATATCAGACTATGCCATACTCTACTTCGCTTCGCTACATTCAATTCGATTTTACTCCATTTCTGTAATATTATAAATTCACTATCATTTCAAACTAAAGGTGGTTGGATGTATTGTATTTATATTTACGGCGATTTTTGTTGGTCATTAAACATTGCATGACTTACTTAGTTGTTGCATACTCAGTTCGATTCTTCATTGTTTTTTTTTTTTTAAATAATATCCAGATTTGAAAATTTTAATATAAAATCATTAGATAAATTGGTTTATTTTTCGTTAATTTTAGTTTCATTTTGCATATCGACGTCTTCGCGGTTGTGTTGTGATATGAGAAACGTACTAAAAACACTAATATGAGAAAGTAATAAAACCAATGAATGACCTTGTCATAAAAATGTGTAATAAAACGACAATATTGTTTTTAATTCTTGAGTGCTATCTATTCTGACTTATATTCGTTGATTTTTTTTTTGATTAATTTTGTAGATTTTTTTTTTTAAATTAATTTAATAGATCTTTGCTACTTTGAGAAGTTTTTAAAAAAAATGATGTGATGGCTAAAATGGCGTCAGGAGATCTTTCTTTAACTAGCAATAGCAGTCAAGAAGGTAAGGGCAAAAAATAAATAAATCAGAAACGATCTACAATAATATTTCGCTTTTAGAAGAAAGTCCTGAATATGCGGATTACGATCGTACTTTGCGGCCGCCTTCGGATTCGAGTAGTGGCACATCAGCAGCTAATATGAATAATAGCAACAATAATAACAATGCCAATAATGGTGGTGCTATTGTCAGTGGCGGTGGTGGTGTTAGCAGTGGTTTGGGGAATCCGAAAAAATATGATTCAATTAAGATACAGTATGATTCGGCTTTACTTGAATTGAAGACGTTACGACATCAACATGCCGACACAGTCAGAAGATGTGATAATTTGGAAAGTCAGTTGGCTTTCTATCAGGAACAGTATAATGCCGCTATGAATCAGCTAAAAAGTTCTGAACGAAATAAACTTACTGATGTGGTGGCAGAAAATGCTCGATTAAAACAACAGAATAATATTTTGGAATGCAAGTTAATGCGCTTCGAAAATGAAAATGGCAATTCGCAGACAGACGGTCGCAGCAATAATTCTTACTATTGCGATTATAATGAAAGAAGCGGTCCCGGTGGCGGAGGAACTGTTGGGGGCGCTGTTATTACTAAATGTAATGGTACTTGTGCGAAAAGCGAGAAACTAAGCGAAGAATTAATTTTGAGTAAGGAACGTAACAATGATTTGATAGAAGAACGCAATCTTTTGGCAGCTGAGAGAGAAAAATACAAGAAGAGCTACAATGCTGTATTAGTTGATTTGGACAAAGAACGAAAATTTTATCGCGACTCGCGCGATCAATTCAATATGCAGAGAGAACAGTTTCAATTGCAACGAGAAATTATGGAAAAAGAAATTCAAAAACTTAAAAGCTTACTAGCGGCTGAGTCTAATAAAGTTCTAATGATAACCATGCAAAAAGGTCGTATAGAGGAGGAATTAAATCAATTGCTTTCCGAGAAGGATAACGTTTTACAAGAACATCAAAAGATGTCTGACGATTTAGCGGCAGCCAATAAAGAGTTGGATCAATATAAGAAAGAAGAAATTGGTTATAAAAATGATCTGCAAGCATTACAACAATCCATAAGTGAGTTAAAAAAACGCGATTTGTTGAAGTCTCGCGAAAGCACCTGGTCTAAGGAATTTTCAGATAGTAAAGATGATTTTAAAGAAATTGAAAAATTACGTAAAAATTTAGAAAAAGCGCATGCAGAGGCGGATCGAGCTGCTCAAGATTCTGACGAGGCTAAACGTGTGCGTGATTGGGCTATTTCTCAGCGGGAGAAAATTGTTCAAGAGCGTGATTCCGTAAAAACCTTGTGTGACAATTTGCGCAAAGAACGGGACAAAGCGATATCAGACTTATTGTCGGCTATCAGAGACAGTGAGAAAATTAAGAAGCAAAAGGATGAGGCTCAGAGAACGATTGACGTTCTTAAAGAACAGTTGGAACAAAATAGCAATGTGAATTCTCCGGCGCGCCGAAATTGTCGAACGAGCACTTATGAAGCCGAGGACATGCTGGCGATTGAATTGAACAATTATCATACGGAATGTGATATGGGTATCATATTGGATGACAGCAATCAAAAGCATTTAGTTTGTGGCGTCACAAATGTGTCCCCGGCATTTGGTAAGCTAAAGATTAACGATGTTATTTGCAAGGTCAACAATATCGACTGTCAAGGTTTAACCAAGCATATGGTGCTCGATGAGATTAGAAGCAGCGCTCCGAGAGTAAGTCTATTAATTTCTCGCACACGCCATAGCAAAAGGCATTTTTATACTGTACACATGAATTTGCAGCAGAATCGTAACCATGGCATACAAGTGGATGCGGGAGTTTTCATTTCAAAGGTAGAATCCAACTCGTTGGCCGCGTTTGAACCCGAATTAGAGGCCGGTGATCGCATTTTAAGTATTAATAATAAATCTATGGAGGGAATGCAGTCACTAGAGGATGTGATGACTTTGTTGAATGATGAGCGTAACGAATCGATTACATTATTTGCCTTAAAGAACGTACACGATTCGCCTGGATCTGAAACACAAAGGCGTATGACTACTTCCGCTGCGCAAACAGATTCCGTGGACTCAATGCATCGCGTAACGAGTAGTAAACATCCTTCTAAAATTGCGGAAATGTTAAGTAAATTTAAAGAGAAAATTCACATATCCAAACCGGGCACAGATGGGGATCATTTCGCCCAGGAACATGACGCTTTGGCCGCGTTAGATTCTGTGTTGAGTGAAAACTCCTCGGAGAAGAGCAAAGAAAATCTTTTTAAACGCAATAAAAGTAAAAAAAAAGAAAAAGAAGCAGCCGCTAAAACTATGGGTACTTGGCCTAGAACTAATATCTTGCAGGCAACGCATGAAAACCCAACTGGTACTATTGTGCAAAGAGAAAAGAAACGAGCGCCATTGTCCTTATTTACAGCGGGGCCGATAAATGTTGACAAAGACGATGATGGACGACCGGATTCAGACGATGCACCTCCGCCACCGTTGCCACCCGCACAAAATAAGCCACAGGCACATATGCGTAACGGTATTTCCAGCACAGTAAAGCATAATCCTAATCGCAATTCGAATCCCATACCATGCACAGTTCTTTTTCAAAACAATGGAAGCGGTCAAATAGGCGGCAGTGGTACTAACAATGCCGGAAGTAACTATGGCTCCAATAATTATATGCGTCATTCGGTGTATGCTACTACCCCCACCACCACCTTGGAGACCGAGTCAATGGTAATAGAACAAACTAAACCTTTGCAAAGGCCAGCACCCATAATAATGGGCGCCACCAACATGCGACCGAAACAAGCTGACAAGTATGGAAATCCTCGAACTCATGTGCATAATTATCAGAATCGCTATTCACTCAATATAACACCGACCGAGTTCTACAAAACTTCAGGACAACAGGCACAACAGCAAGTCATAAATACCGGTGGTAATGTAGGCGGTAACGGCATGAATGGCGTAGTCGATATGTTGCCCCGCAAACAACATCTGTTTGACATGTTTCATAACGCATCAAATGCTAATAAGTCAACACCACATCCCGCCTTGTTTGTGCCCTTACAATCACCGCTAAACTCAAATTTTGGCCGAAGTAATTGTTCAAGCCAACAACAACAGCAAAACTCGTTGGATATGATATCGCTCAAATCGCAGAATTCCATTGATTCCATTTTGTCCGCGAAAAGCCCTCCTATAAGTGAATACGCAGCTCTTGCCAATTATCCTAAGAGAGGATTACCAATGCCGCAGTCAGCACCCGGATCAGCAACGAAGAATGTTTCGAAATACCCAAGTGATAGCGAGAGCATTGCGTCTGGTATCACAGGTTGTGGTGGCGGATTGTTTCATTCGTCTAATAATCCACCGCCATCCAGACATTTGCCCTTATTTCCTTCCTTTACGCCATCGGCGCATTCGCACGCTATGCGCCCTATAAGACATTCTAGTCCTTTAACACTACCCTCACCGCCGCCTCTGCATCCAAGTGTACCGTCCTCGTCTTCGGCGCCTCCTCACCATCTGGATTCATCAATTGGTATACCGACGTCTTCAGTCGATAAATTTGATATGGATTACATGTCTCCGACTCATTCACATCAGCATCAGCATCAGCATCAGCAACCTCATCCACAATACATAAATGATTACCCGCCTAGTATCCCAACTCATCCTTCTTTTCATCCTAGCCCTGCCGTTTCAGCCAGCGGAGGCAGTATTATCTATGAAGGCGGTACGTTTCCTCGCAAGAAAGATCATCAACGTTTGCGCATACCATCTAATCCAAGCGTGGCAAGTAAAAGTAGTGGTGTAAAAAATAGCTCCGGATCAATTGACCATCACTATTCGTCAGGAATTAATACTCCCTCAGGGATTATATCCTCCGCCATGACACCATACACGGGCGTGGTGCATCACCATACGGCGTTAACAAATGTCGCAGCTAACGGGGGTAATAGTGGACGGGGATCGCCTATGCCACAGGTGCACGTAGAAGTGCTTAGCCATGGCGGCAATAAACGCAATTCAAATGTGCCCTCGGATTTTTTATGCCCTGGAGATCTTAGAAGAGTCACGATCGAAAAAAGCGATAAATCGCTTGGCATTACTATTCAATGCAACAACAACGGTGGTGGTATATTTGTTTCGACTGTAGCCGACAAAAGTATTGCCACCCGTGCTGGTCTTCAGGTGGGCGATCAACTCTTGGAAGTATGCGGTCTCAATATGCGTTCGGCTACAAATGATATAGCAGCCAATGTGCTGCGTCAGTGTGGAAACTCAATTACTATGTTGGTACAATATAATCCGGAAAGTATGTTAAAAAATGTCAATAATGAATTACATTTTGAATGATTCATATCTTTGTAGAATTTCATTCGGCAGAGTACGAAGGAACACATAATTTAGAACCGGAATCGTCTGTCAATCATTCAGGATCACCAACACCTCGCAATTCGCCAAGACCACCAATACGTCCTATAATGGCTTCTCTGCCACCGATGCCTATTTCCACGTCCACGCCAAATAGTTCAATGGCTCATAGTGCTGTGATGCCTCAGTCAGGATCATTAATGTCACAGCAATCTATGAAGGATCAAAGTTTCGCAGATAGTTTAGAAAATCAATCGGACATAAGTAGCAGCCAAGATATTCCCTCGTCAGCGGCTACCACCACAACTATTGCCTCTACTACTGCAGCATTACCTTACGAAGAGGAGCCACGATACGTAACATTGCATATGGATAAATCAAAAAATCCGGGAATTAAATTGTTCGGTGGGAACAAAGTTGGAATTTTTGTGCACGATGTTCATCCAGGATCGCCATCTGATAGAGCTGGAGTAAGAAAAGGAGATCAAATCTTAGAATATAACGGAGTTGATCTAAGGTGTGTTACTGCCGAGCAGGCAGCTAATGAAATCTCCAAACTAACGGATACCGTGACCATGTTAGTGCAGAATAAATTAAAAAGTAAGTACAGAAAAGTATTAAGCCTGAGAGAAGGCAATCTCATAAAGCAATCGTACGCGAGAAACCAGTTTTTTTTTTTCAAATTCTCTGCCGAGAGGGTGTGAAGATAAATACGAATTTAACCTTCTTCCTAGCAGAGCTCCATTAATTAGTTATATATTATTAATTATATATCTTGATCTTAACTGCTAATTAAATTGATATTTATGTTCAAACACTTCTCTGCTGAGATTTGCGGAGCATGAAAAGTTATTAATTTGTTGTGTTTTCACTTGAAGAACTAAAGCAGATTAAAGACAAGTCAGGCGATTCATTTTACATACGCGTGGGGTTTGATCGTACCGGTGATCTTAATGAGGGTGATTTACGTTTTGTGAAAGACGAAGTTCTCTATGTGGATAATACTGTTTTCAATGGTACATTTGGTTTGTGGCGCGCTTGGAAATTAGATGCGAAAGGCTATCGAAAGGAATGTGGCATTATACCCAGTCAAATGAAGTAAGTAAGGGCTGAAAATGAGAATGGTTATATGATGTCAATTTTCTGATTGCCTCTAGAGTTGAAGAAGAATTACGTGCCGCTGAGGTAGTTGAATGCGATGGCAATGGTACGGCACGACGTGGCAGCACTTCAACGCGTCGTTCATTTTTTCGTCGTAAAAAGCATCAACGCAGCTCTTCGCGAGACTCAACAGAAATCGCTAGTTTCAGTAATACGCAATTGAGTTATTTCCCCGATTCCGGTATACTTAATGATGATGGTGGTATTCTGAGCTATCAACGGGTGGAACGTTTAGATTGTAAGCATCAAAGTTGGAAATCTTTGTTTCAGTCAATTTACTTACTTTCTTTAATAGCTCCGGTAAGGCGGCCTGTCTTGATTATAGGACCGCTATCAGAATGTGTTATGAGCAGGCTAACCATTGATTTTTCTAATCTATTTAAAATGTGTGAAGTGACGGTTATGGATTGTTCTCAAGAGGCTATGGAAGAGGGTTTACAAAAAAATATTTTCGTTGATTATCGTAGACGCGGCAATAAATTTGAGTGCACCACTATAGAAACTATCAACAACACTTGCAAAAACGTAAGTTACTTCAACAATTCTTATTTGAACATGATTCATTAGTGTAATTCACGACAGGATCGACGACATTGTATTTTGGATATCTCTATATCAGCGGTCGAACGTTTACAACGCTTGCAAATTTATCCTATTGTATTATTATTGCGTTTTAAGTCGGCTAAACAAATACGAGAAATACGAGATTTTGGCACAGAAAAAATATCAGCGAAAGCCGCTAAAGAAATGTATGAAAGGGCCCTAAAGCTTGAAAGTGACTATAAACAATATATATCAGGTAAGTATTCTGAAGAAACTGTAAAATTGAATAAAAAATACATTTTTCGTTTTTTAGCTGTTATACCTGGGGTTAGCATAAAACACATGTGCACTCAAATAAAAGACGCTGTCGATAAAGAGCAAGATAAACTTTTGTGGGTTCCCGTAACAAATGCTTAAAATCAAATTGTTACAATCTAAAGTATTTACTATTTTTATTATCGTTTGCCTTATCGTTTAGATCAACGCACATTTTGTTTATTTGTAATTTATTTATATAAACACATTGATTGTCTATACACACACACATACACACATACACACACACACACACACACACACATGTATATATTAATATAACTATGTATATAATATATGTATATATACCAATGTATACGTATATTATATTATATGTATATAATATATATAGATATATATATATATATATATATATATATACACGCATATGCACGTTTACAGATTTACGCATATATAATCTATATATATATGTATATATATATGTATATGCACGTTCACAAATATATGTATATATGTATGTGTATATATATAGATATACATACAGTAGTTTGTAGATTTTTTTCTGAAATTTTTTTAAAATATGTATTCTGTTGACTTTTTTGTACCCATCATAGAGGGTATATTCAATTTTTCAAATGTTTCTAAAGCATCGAAATATCTACCAGGCTTCCCTTAGAATATGTATTCTTAAGAAAAGAAAAGTGGACTCAATGTAGTACTGACTGTTTGTGAAGATCATCACTATGGCCTCAAAATTCTTATTTGTGTGAACGAACTTGAACCTAGAAATTTCTTTGTTATATGGTTTGAGTAGCGCTAAAATATTCGTTAAATGGGTCAGTAGGTTTGAGTGCAACCTGCAAAAATGTGAGAATAAGGAAATCTGCACTTGGTGTTATTTTTATTACACTATTAAGAGTGCTCATCGATTATGTTATGTTGTTGGTCTTGTGTACGTTATGTCAAGGGTGGTTTGAGTTACATTTACAGTAAATGTAAAAGTACAATGGATGAAATAATTGTAATCTAATCTAAACTACAATATATGTAAATATCCTCTTCTCGTATTTATTTATTTATACTTTATTATCTTCCCTTTAGCACAAAATTATTATCAAATCGAAGACGCGCGCGGCATATTCTTATATTTTATTTTAAAAGTTACACATGAGCTCATGTCGCTGCGACACACATACGCATATACATAATTAAATGCCTCCAAAAGATCAGTTTGTCGGTTCCCGAAATTCAAAGTCGAAGAATGAATAAAAATACTTAATATATATAAATAATTATGATGAATATATATATATATTCTATATTCCTTATATACTATATAAAGAAGAGGTTTATGCGAAAATATATCGCGCGCTGGCGTCGCGCGTTTATCGAACGCAAAAATTAAGATTTTGAAAAGAAAGTAGGAGAGGAAATGTTGTCTTCGAACTTTTTGAAATTCAAGAAGTCGCACCTACCGAATATATGTAGAGGCTAATATAAATTTAGCTGAAGAAGTAGTCCTAATAATAAAAGTTGTCGTTTGCGACATGAGCTTTAAGTGAATCACTGGTTTAAGCTTGTTTCATGATGGATTTTATAATAATAATCATGTGGCACCATTCAGAATTTTTGATATCTCTAATTGCATCTGTATGTAATATCTGCAGTAAGTGTAAATTTCTTTGGAAGACAATGTTAGCACAAATTTGTCTAAAAAACCCATGCAAATGCTTGTCGATATAAGCAGCAGGTAGATGCAAACAGAAGAAGTGTTCGATTTCGAGAAAGAAGCACTTTAAGATTAATCGCAAATGTCCCTGCCAGACTAGTCAACGACCAGACGACTATCAAAATTGTTGCTAAATAGGTTTTTAGGTAGGTGCTTAAGTTTTCACGCTTCATTGTTCTTACAGTGGTCTTAAATATTGTTGAGGAAACATGATTTCTAATAATAGTTTAGGAAATTCACCTATCACCTATACAAGCTACAAAAAAAAACAAGCAAGTAATGGATATCACGAGATTCAATTTAAACCAAACTTGAGTTTATACTTCATTTTAAAAATCTTATTATTATTTGTGTTTGTTAATTGGTTCTGTACTAGTGTCTCTTTTTTTGTTTTGACGTGTGTAGCTTATTATATTTGCAAGAACTTTTAAGCGCTTTAAAAATGAAAAGTATTGCTTTGACTTTTGTTATATGATTTATGTTTTTCTATTTTTATAAATACTAATTATACACACATATATATATATATATATATATATATACTTGGATTTGCTTGTTAAAGCTTGTACGTTTACATTTAAGCAACAAAGTAATTACGAATTATGTATTTGTCAAGATTTTTTTTTTATTCTGCCTAACTAACAACATGCGCTATAACAATTGAAATCTAGCATCAGTGCCTTTTTACTTGTGAACAAGATGTAAAGATTTTTTATATCTTTTAGACAATAAACTGAAATTATTTACAATCAATCTTTATATGGGGTAGGGTCAATTATTATTTAAAAAACACACAAAACACACAAATACACACACAAAAATTTACACAAATATTTTTTATATGTTATAATATTAAGAATATTTATATACATGCATATAATGTATTTTGTATGAAAAAAAATTTTTTAAAATAAAACTCGTAAGTTTTTAAAATGATTTTCTGATATATACTCTCATTACTATCACTACAAACTAGAGGTTAATACATGAGCCGTGATTATATTCTTGTTGTGTTAGCTTAGGATGACTAGTAATAGATATACCGTCATGTTTGTCATTGATTTTCATACCAGCTTTTCAGTTTCCCTTCTTCTTCCTTCTTACGCCTACTGTTGAGATTTTTGCAAAAATACGCTAAGCTTAGATGATGAAGCATTTTTCTGTTTTGAATCCAGGGCCCTGAGAAGCGTTTGCCAGCCATCGGGTGTTGACGCTGATAGAATTAAACTCACGTTACTAAATGCCAGTGCGTTGAAAGGTCAACCTTCAACTCTAAGTCCCACCTGGGTCTGATAAACCCCTGGACATGGTCAGGGGTTTATCGACAGTTATATTGAATATAATTGGTGGAAATTGGTCGCCTTGTTTTACTCCTCTTTTGGGTGTAATAGTATTTGATACCCATCCTTTTTCGTATTAGAAGCAGTCTTGCATTATTCCTCCAAAGAGAAAATAAAATTCTTAGGAAAACCAATACAGCGCAATGCAACCATGATCGTGTTATAGGATACGGAATCAAATTGTTCTGCTGACGTCGTGTGAAGCCATTTAACAGCAATGAAACTTGGCGTTTACAGCTTTTAGAATTATGTTAAGGAAAACGGCCGGTTATCTGGTGGGTCCAACTCGGGAGGCTCAGTAATCATATTAGCCAAAATACCGTGAAGCTGTCGGGAAATCACTGATGGTATTGTGGTAGGCCTGACTTCGCCGTGATTCTCACCCTGTTTTTTCTTACGAAAAAAGCTTGTGTAAGCCTTCTCGAAATGTTGCGGCGATCTCCCGCACCACTTTATTATGTTTAATGTACCTGCCTAATTACCAGTAGTCACTGCACGAAGTTCCACTCTACTATCACCACGTAAGTCAGGACTTGCCCTAGTCTAGCGGCATCGGGCTCGCGTAATGTGATAGAAGAGCAGATTGCTTCTAAGTTTGGAGCTGAACATCCAAGTTGTGGTGAAGAAGAGCAATTTTGTTCCATTATGGTTCTGTAGAATAGTACCTTTAGATAATGTGGTGGCTCTTTTGACTCTTTAGGCTTAAGAATTTCCTTAATGCGCCGTCCATAGCGCTCAGATCAATTGTTCTGCGTTCGGGCATAATCCTGACCCTATATTTTACGTCAAATCTCTTGCGTTCTAATGTTATGCCATGCCCTTTTAATGTGCGCTCTTCGCGTTCGAATCGGTAATGTGTTGTTAATATAGCTGAGGAGCCCTATAAGGATTTCCTCTTTGCTTCATAACGGCGCATTCCTAATTAAGAGTATCAAAGAGCTTCGTTATGACGTATTTATCTTCTGATTACCCTCTGTCACAATGCTTTATTTTATTTAGACAGTCGGACGCTCCAAGTCCGTGCCAGTTTTGATAGTCGTTATCGATTGTCGGATTAAAAATGTGGCGATCAATTTAGGTAAGGGCAATTTGCTTGTAAAAGGATATATGAGCGGATGATTTGCAGAAGGCAGAGAGAGAGTCGTAAGCGGGTCGAAAAGCCAATCGACAGTGGATCGAGAGAGTCGAGTCAACAGATTTGAATAGCAATATTCAAACGGACAAGAGCAGAACGGGAATTAAAGCGGTGTAAGTAGAAGTTCCTGTAAGCAATTTGTAAATAGATATCCTAACAACGCTATCCTTAAAACGACAATGCAGTGGTACGACCTTTATTTCAAAAGGAGTTGAATAAATAACGCAAAATCATAAAAGACGCATATATATATATTACCAATTGGTAAATGTTCGCTCAATTCGGTTTGACTCAATATACTTTAATTTTAGTGATCGTCACTTAGATATGCGACTATATCGACGGTATTTTAATTTTTGGTTTGTTGAGATTAAATGGACTAAACTAACAAGGAACGTGGCTTATATGGCTAATCAAAAAAAATCCTTAAAACAATTTTGGTTCTGGCGAGAGTTCACTATGTTCGCTTACCAACGACCATACCCCGTTAAATATATCGGTTCTCGCTCGTCATTCTATCGAAATATTTTGAAATAAAAATAGTTTTCATACCATTTAATTATAAAATTCTTTTTTTTTTTTTGTTTTTGACAGAAATGTATCCGTATGTTTATTAAATCAAATACGTGAGTGGTTATGTAATTAACGACATTATATTTCCTTTACTCATGCATATCGTAACTACGTCATTTCATGCATCTTGTAGTAATATATAAGTAAAACAAAGAAAACAAACATATTTTTGTATATATATATACACACACACACACACACACAGATACTTATGATGTTAAAAATTTTGAATTATCACTAGCCTTAAATGTTAAACTATTTATTTGAGTTTGTCTATACAATTTATGTATATTTATTTAACTTATATTTTTTATTGCATATTCAAGGATTTTGTTAAAAAACTCAAAATCAATTTATAAATATTATCATAAACAAGGAATTAATTTCAATTATAATTTTTTAAATTCATCACTTTGCGACATTTTCTTTATAAGTAACAGTTGTTTTAGGGGCGCTACTTATGTGATCTGTAACTAATGGTCGGAATGTTGTGAAATTTTGACACATTTCGTTCGAAATTTTTTCGAATTCTAAAAATTATATCGATTCGTCGATAGTCGTTGTACACCTATATCTCATCCTACAATCTTATTGAGCGATGTGCCACATATCGTTTGGGACAATTATTCCGATTTTCGAGAGTAAGAAGGAAACAAAATGTGGGTCCATCTGAAGTTCTTCTGGGTGCTGCGTATACATGTGCAAAAATTAAAGCATCGCTTGGACTACAAGTCAAGTAAACACTCTAATTTGTTGTATACAAATGATCATCAAAAGGTATATGGCATGTGTTGATAAACGATTACGTATTTGTTTACTCATTACAAAAATACTCCGGTAAGGCGATGGAAAGAACATTTACTGCAAAACAAGTTGAGTACTGTGCTGACATAATTGGCGAGGAAGAAAACGACAGAAGCGATTCTGAATGTAGCGATGATGAAGTTGTCTCCGAACCCGAAGACATCTTAAGTCACCGAATTAAATGACAACGTTCGACAATGAATTTAATGGTAGCTGTACGGATATGGCAAGTGAACAAAGCATAAGTTGCTTGTTAGTTGGTTATCGATTTGCTAAATATGATAAAATATCGGCTGCACATTTCTTTCAAATGAAACTGCCTACGGTGAACTGCCCTACAATATGTGTTTATATAAGACAGATTTCTAGAACACGGCGACACGACCTCACACTAAAAGAGGCTCCTATAAACCGGACAGAAGATATGTGTTCAAAAAAACTCTTATACATTTCTTTCTCTTGTGAAACAAAAACAAAAACATTTGTTATTAAACGGCCATGAAAATAGATGTCATGTAGTGTCCATTGAGCCTCATTATTATTAAAAAATGTTATTTCATATGTAACAAGTAAGTTAACCGCTTGCATCGTGAGTTTGAGTAATATCAAAGTGACTCGTACATCATAACACGCATCATAGCACGCAGGAAGCTCTACCATATTTGGACGCTTTGGTAAACCATGTACAGTCCATCTTTTTCCCATTGAATGCTGGGCTTATAGTTCAATAGATCGTTTATTCGACGATTCGAATTAAAAAAAAAAGTTATCTAATTTCATATCCATCTTATTTACTAATATCAATATATTCTTACATTTAATGATTATGGCTTCTGTAAAATTAAATTAATTAATATTTATTTGTAACAATTATTTTCGCTTTAAATTGTCTTAAGTAATTTCAAGGTACAAACGCTCTCTGTGTCACTTTTTTTTTTTTCTAAGTCATAAAAAACATTATGTTTTAAGAAATATTTACAATAACATAATGCTTAAAATTAAAATCTAATCATTCTATTATTAATTATATACAGAAAAACAAAAAATTTTGCGACTAGTTTATAAAGTAATAAGGAAAAAACGACTATAAACATAGGAATGAATTTTGAGATGGATTAACAAATCAACTGCAATCACTCAGTTCTTCGTTCGATTAATCGGGTTAGTTCTAATCTTAGTCTTAACTGCATCCTATTGCATACTTTCTGCAAAGCGTTGGAAAGGGTTTTTGTGATTCTGGTAAAATTAAAATTTGATTAAAGCTTGTGACTCTATTATGATCTCAGTTATCGCTCGCTGGGTTCGGAATTTATTTAATTTGCATTTTTGTGAAACATTATTGTGAAGTAGTTTGACTACGACTTCGTCACGATCTCGTACGTTTGGTATGCGTTTTTTTTTCAAAAGCAAGGTAGAAAATTTGGAATGAGTTGAAATGGTATTGTACTAAGTATGTAATTATGAAACCGGAATTTGCCAATAGATGAGCCTAATGTCATGTTTAGTTTACACGTCCGAGGTTGTGTTTTTTTATAGTTTTGGTGTCTGGCAACCATATACGATCGTAATACCAATCTTGTTTCATATACACAAACTTGGAACATCACCCTGCCGTATCGTGAAATCGGTCGAACTTATATATATCATGCAGATCGGTCAACAGTCAAACGGCGGAGTAACAACACAGGCACGAATGTCTTAAATGCCTTGAATGTGGACTAAAAGACCTAATGGTAGGGTACTACATCTTTTTCGATGACTAAATATTTGCAGTTTCGAACTAATATTTGTAATGATGTCTAGAATATTGTTAATGAATATGATGATTGTAGATAAACATATATACACAAATATTTTTTTTAGGTTAATAGTAACTGAGTAAATATGTTCTTTAGCCCTCATAGAAATTGAAGTCATCCTTCGGTTTATACCATTCTTCAGTCGCGTGTTCATAGATGGCGTTCTTCACCTTTTCTTCGGCAATTTCAATGGGATGTCGAGTATCGCTGTTATAGCCACCCTCCGATCGTGGACTTCGCGATGTTGTCCGAAAATCGAATGGTATGTTATAACATTTGCATATGCAACAAGAAGGGAAACGAAACCAATCGGAAAATATTCCGCGGCATTCATTGTTTGGATCATAAGCAAGCAAACGATGTAAACGATATTGCTGCTCACAACGACAGCCTTCGCGACAATACATTTGCTTGTGTTCGTGCGTGCATTTCTCCCAATGTACGTATTGTTCGAAAGGATAAAGATTAAGTAAAGCCAATACCTCGCCCCGTGTATTGTTGGCCCAGAACGGTGCTACCACTTCTTCCTTAACCGGACAAGCATTACTGAAATATTAAGAAGAAATAAAAGCAAAAAAAAAAAATTCATTTAAAACATTTTCGACTTACACTCCTCTCATATGCACTGGAGGGTCTTGTTTCATTGCATCCTGAAAAAGTTGCCCGTCATGTACCAGTGGTTTATGTGGTGATACTAAACTCGAAGGTGTAACATTCAATATGGCGGGTTTACGCACTTTTTCGCCTAACAATAATTCTGCATGGGATGGTAGCAAACTAGTTGCAGCCGGATTTGCCGAGCCACCGTATTTATGGTAATAAGAAGTGTTTAAACGATTGTAATTTTTATTATATTTAAATGGTGATGCTCTTACGGTCGAAGTTTGTGTTGGTGAGGCGGATGTTGTTGTTCCCGGCACAGTAGACATGTAACGATCAGTTGATGACGCCGCTGTTTGATTTGATCTGATGATATATGTTCTATTTGCAGAAGATTCGGTTGGACTTATTTTTAATTTCAACTTGGCTGAGATTGTTGAATTAATTTTGAGTAGTTGCTGTGAGGGTCGATAACGTTGCGAGGACGGTATGAAGGGTTTTCTTAATTGTTTCAAGGGAATTCTTTCGCCAATAATCTCCGATTTAGCGGTAGTGATAGTCGGTGTAGGTTTGGCTGTCGTAGTAGCTTTTACAGTTGTTGCTGTGGTTGATAAATTAATACTGCTATCAGTAGTAGAGTTAGTAGAGGTACTACCTGGCTCTATTTCAGCCAATTGTGGTGATTCCACGATGTGTATGTTATCACCGGTCTTGAACTCGCCACTAACAGAAGTATATCTCAATGCGTCGTACACACTATTCGCTGCGGTGTCCCCTTTACGCTCTACAATTATCGTCGTAATTTCTTCGTCGTTGTTATCAAAAGATAGTTTCGTTGTAATTTCTAGATTTTCATTCAAATCTTTAGAAACAGTGGTGGATTCATATTTATTGTCTTTGACTTCTTTAGCGGGACCATTATCAATAGTTGGGGCTTTAGAAGACGTTCTAAACGTTGTTGTGACATTTTCTAAATCATGATCCGATTTATTAGCCTCAATACTGGTAGATATTGTTGTAGCGGCTGTTGTTGACGGTGAGTTTAATACAATGGCTTCGCGTAAAACGTCATTTGATTTGAAATTATTAAAGTCATCACGATTAGGCGTAAACTTAATTGATCTACTGTCGCGATAAGCATCACGCGAATAACGCTCTGAAGCCATTTCAATGTCATCGATATCGATCTCATTGTTAAGAATTTCATTTTTCAATATCGCTATATGACGTACATCGCCGTACATACGTTTCATTAAACCCTGATTTTCATGAACAAAACGTCGTACCGCATGCCAGGGATATGCAGCACCAGGTAGGGCGCAATAGGCCTGTTTGGTTAGATCACAGGGTATTGTGGTCAGTATTTGGGCACGACCTTTACGTGATTGTTTCATGTTTGGGCTGCAAGAGGTGGCCGAATCGAAACCATAAGCCCAACATTTATCAATGTATAAAGCGAAAAGCAATAGAAATATAAAATTAATCTAAGAAAAAAATCGCAGAAGAGAAACAAACAAAAAAAAAAAAAAACATAAACAAGAAAACAAAAGAAAAACAAACATTAAATTGTCATTTGCTAATTACAAGTTTGTGTCTTAAGTCTATTATTTTGGCTTGAATTCAAGTTTGCGCTTTAAGCCTTTCGCTATTGTTTTAGTTTAAAAAGTGAAATCAAACAATATAATTACGAAAAAAAAACCTCGCTTTCACACGTAAATAAATAAAAACAATTTATAAAGTAAATTAAGTTTACATTCGCTTGGGAGTAAATATTTAAAATTCATTTAGTGATAGAGAGAGAACAACCGATCATTAGGCTTAGATATTAGGTTGCTTTCCATATTTGCAAGGGTCCATTCTGCCTGTCCAAACACGACTAGCTAGTAATAAAAAGATTGCACGATATTTGAATAAAACAAAGCGTTTAGTGTTGGCGAAGATCCGATCAAATGATCGATCTATTCTTTCTTACGCTAAATTCGCAATATTTTTCCATTCATAAATTCAAGTATCTTTAAAATCGTCTCTGTAAACTCATGTTATTTGTACCATGTGGGAAGAAACGGCAATTCACTACGCTTTTGATAAGCTTTACACCTTGTTTCCCTGTCGAAACGAAAGAAAATTACTTAAGAAAATAGTGGGGTATGTCTGATAGACAGTGCTCCTGATATTATTGTAATAATTATCATCGTAAAGTTGAAGTTATCACTGTAGTAATTCCGCTCAATCCTAATATATTTCAATAAATTAATCTTAATTTCTATTCGTTTGAATGCAAATTATTTCAATTCAATTCGAAATTCGAAATGAAAATCTCAACTCAATTCAATTCATTTCAATTCTATTAAATTCCTACTATTTTAGCCTACACTACTTGTGGTAGAGGATATATGAAGCTTGTACGGATGGATGTTTACAATAGCCAGAAGGACTTGCAATAGATCCCGATTTCATTATGCTGCAAGCTTGTCTGTCCCTCTGTCCGCCTGTCTATCTGATGGCTCACCATAGATTCTTGTGTTCAACCTATAGGTCGTGACTTCTGAGATACTTGATATACTGAACTTGCTTCTGCCCAAGGAGGTACCCTATTCGATTCGCTTCGGATCGCTCCCTACATACTGCCTTACTTCGAAAAAATATTATAATTTTCGGAATTTCGCAGCCAAAATCCCCGGGCAAGAATATTTCGGTATTTCAAATCAGTTTGAGAAATTTGGAACCTCCTGCTACACAACTGTTTCTAAGAAACTTGAAAAGGTTTAATTTTGAATATTTTTTGGTTAAAATTGGTTCACAATATAGAAAAGTTTAAATGAAAAATTGTCCAATTTTTGATATTTGATTATGAAAATAGATTCCTAAGTGTAAAAATTTTATTACTGGCTACAATGTGCATTGAGGCGTACGTACTCTTAAAGTTAAATGCTTAAATTACGCATTATGAGATTAGAAACCCGTGACCACCGACTTTGTAGTCGCGCGTCTAATTTCTTCGGCTAAGCTGTAGCTCAGCAAGATGTAAAACGTAACTATGTTAAATTTTGGATTAAGATTGTTATGAAATGTTAAGCTCTTATATGCCTAAAAAGGTCTAATACCTGATTTTAATTCAGCCGAATTAAAATTCGGGTCGTTTGAAATTAATTTACCTGAATGCGCTTAATTTTGAAATTCAGGTAACTTTAAGTTAATTTGAGTGAATTTAAATCATTCTCGATCTCTCAAAAAATCTCAAAACTTTCCTTTATATTCATTTTTTTTTTTTTTTTTTTTTTTTTTTTTTTTTAAGGAAAAGTTTAATTAAAAAGGCTGGGAGCTATAAAGAGTTTACTTTGAAATCAAAAAATGTTTCTTGTTATAAAATGCAAAATATCTTTAACCGCATTCATCCAAAACAAAATAAAAAAAAGTGGTAATTTCAGTTTATGATGGTGGCATAGAAAAATTTATGAGATTTTCTGACTAGAAAAAAAAAAAAAAAAATCGTTTTAAGAATGCAAAAAATAAAAAAAAAAGAAATGGTAACAATATTAACGTGAACGGCAACCAATCAATGCCATGAAACTAGCGAAGCGTTATTACTAAAAAAAGAAAAAAAACGAAAAATAATATTCATGTAAGGTATTCGACCGCAAGACACACAAGTAAAAGTTGTTCATAAACAAGACCAGCCGCCAATTTTTCACTATAATTACGCGCTCTTTCACTTTTCTTATTGAGAAATTCACAAAAACTAAAGAGGAAGCGACCACACCAACAACAATAAAAGTAATAATAACAACAACGAAAACAACACCAGATATAACAGCAACAACCATAACTATATAAGCAATAATAATTTATATGTTGCAGCCCTTTTTCTTTAAGGTGATGCACAAAGGAAAAGTGAACCGTAAAACTCAACTTTCGATTTCACTAAGAAAGTTATTATCATTTTGTTTTCTTTTTCCTTTTTTTTGTTAAGTGTTTTATTTAGACAAATGCCCAAAAAAAAATACAGAAATATTTAATGAACTTTTTTTTGGTCCCTATTGCGTCAGACATTGTTATACAATTTTCAATATTATTAATGGTAGTTGGATTAGGTAGTATTTGGTCAAAGAAATTGTAAAACATAAGCTAAGTAACTACAAGTTAAGTTGACTGGAAAAAAACATATAACCGGTTAGTCAAACTATCTGCTCATAGCCGAGACACATCATGTAACATTTGTTATTCAATTTAAAATCAAAGGTTTCTAAAGAAATCATCGTTTTATTGCTTTATTTTTCAGAGACGTTACAAAGTTGCTTAAGTTATTTTTCGTTTATTATTTAAATCTTACAACACGGCAGCAACATATGCTTGCACTGTTGACTTCTCAATTTGTCACCATTCATTTTCTTTTTATGAAGACTCGCTCTTAGATATGCATTGGCGCAAATTTACATAAGTCATAATAGCTCCGGTCACTAAACACTTCAATTTCATTAAACACTAAATGTCACTTAATAAATTCGTAGGACGATATATAGATATTACCAGATGATTTTCTAATAGTATCAGACTTCAAAGTGCCATCAAATTCCAATCATTGGCTTATAGGCTACAGTAACTTTATTGACGCCACTTGTCACTTTCAAAGCACTAGGAAAATCGGGTTTCACGTGTTAATGAAAAAAGAATTACTTTTTAATGGGAAAAAATACTGTTCTGACAAGAGCTGTTTAAACTCTGCTCTACTGCGTCGGAAAGAAAGCTCTTTTCTAAATGGGTACGAACTGGTTTGACTATGATCAATTGCTCAGGGGATGTGCCCTATTCGTGTAACACGCTGACGGTCAGAAAAAAGTGAAAAAAGAGAAAGAGATAGAAACGTGATTGTCGCTTTCAATCAATAAGCGTTCTATCTTCATCATCTGAGCACTCTTTGTGGCTGCGACTTGAGTACGCTAGCACTTAGCGACTCAGTAGTCCCGATTTTAGTTGCTCGTCTAGTCGTGCGTGCAGTTTTGACCGAAACGAAAAACGTGTCGATGATTCAAAGCGATGTTTACAGCTCTTCAGGTAAAAGATGAAACATGGATTTATTATTACAGTCAAGAGACTGTCCTCGATAGTCAGCCGAGTAGTCAGCGGAAGTAGTCCCAAGCGATCAAAAATCGGTTGAAAATGTTATTTTTTGCTCATTTTAGCATGCGTATCGAGTATGTTGAAGAGGGACCAAGAAAGCACCATTATTAGTGCTTTTGAATGACTAAATTGCAACCGGTCACACACCCTACGGAAATATTGAGCAATGAGTTACAACTCCTTACCTAGGCATCTTCCAGCTAAGGGCAAGAAGGGAAAAAATGTTGCGCAACTACGCATCTTTGCGAGCACTCCATACTAAAAGCGATCTCCGTGGCCTAGTATGCTGCCTCTGAAAAGCTTTGGAAACATCCTACATCTGGATTTGTCCCCTTCTTCAGCAATGCTAATGTCATAGAGCAGATTTGTCGAGTTGTTAAAATCGATTGAAGAATCGAATATTTGCAGCGCGAAACTAATACTCTCTACTTTGACCCGATCAGCTAACTATAATGTGTTATGGCCATGTATTGAACCAATGAAATCATCTATGGGAAACGTTGCTAAAAATAACTCATGCAATTAAGCTGATCATGAAAGAATGAGCACAATATACGAGAAGACATGTGTTCGTGGCGCTGATACCCACCCGAACACATAGTTACGTTTGCTGATACAAACTCAGTTTTATTCCTGTAGTTTTTCTCAGCATTAAGTTAGCTGTAGGTCACTTTTTTAATTATTAATTTTACGTTGTAACAACATTGAAGTTGTCTTCAAAACATTAAAACGAACGGTCACAACGTTAAAAATTCGTGTAATTAAGAATGAGTTATTAAACAAACGTTCAAGCTAATAACGTCTAGCTACTAAAATTTCGCTAGAACATGAAGGCACAACTGCCGCAAAATCGTTTCGTTTTTAATTCGCACCAAGTATACAAGAAAGCTTTTATGCTTCTATAAACAACACGATAAAATGGCTTTTAAGTATGACAACGCTCAGGCGCATATTGCAATTTACTTCGAGGAAAAGTTAAAAGCAATTAACTTGAATGTGATTACTCTCTCCACTGTTGATTACGATTTGCTTCAATCGGTGACTTTTGGCCGCTTTGATCAGAGCTTTCATTGTGAAGATCGCACTGGGAAACACTACTACTCTGAATAACTTTCGAAGAAGAGTTGTTGTAAAAACAAATCGCAACTAATTATGGGGAATACTTTGACTGAAATGATTTGTAGCATCTTCTTATACACTTACACTGTTTGTGATACGAGGATATATTAAGTTTGATGCATGCAACGACCCAGAACGACTTGAAATAGGCCACAGACTTTATTATACCGATCGAGTCAGAATTACTTTTTAAATTGATCTAAGTTTGTCTGTCCGTCTGTCCACCTTGTTTTCTCGTGTTCAATGA